AAGGCATTGTCGAAATCCCGTGCTACTAGGAATAGCTCCAAGGCTTCTTTGAATGATTATGATGCTAATTTACTAACGTGTAAAAATGGGTTGAAATCTGATGCCAATAAGATGATTTTGGTTTCCACAAAAGAAAAAGGGAAGGCCTTAAGAAGTGTGATGGATATGACACAGAGTTTGTCAGAACTGCCTGCTAATAATGAAACAGATGATAACATAAACCGGGGGTTGATTGTAAGAAATAGTATAACTTGCAGCAGCAGCAGCAGTACTGATGCTGCTAGTGCGAGCAAGTACACGTACAATGCAGAGTTGGCTTTTGAATTGCATTGTTCCACAAATGGTTTTGCCCAGGTTTCAAAAGATTCACACTTGACAAACACAAACTATTTACCTGTTCTAAATGCTAGAGATTGCAACTATGTAGATAGTAAACCGGTAGAGTTAGAAAAAACTCCTAAGTATGGTGAAGGCAGGGAGATTGTGGTTTACAGAAGAAGACTGCGAGAAAAATGTGATCTCAGCATTTCAGAAGGTTCAGTTTGTGCTATGGACAAAGACAATAGTTCATTTGATTCGGGAAGACATGAACTGAGAACCTACAAGCGTACTAGGCTCAAGAGGAAAGAACTCCAAGAAAATGAAAGGAATGATTTATTCTTCTGTGTGGATGGAATGTGCAATTCTGACTATGACAGTAGAGTTGTTTTGGAAGCTCAGTCTATTCCAATAGATTATTTGACTAAAGAGTCACATCTGTATCAAGTTAGCATTCCATCCCCAGCCCAATGTGATGGAGTTGTTACCTTGCAGACTGAGAAGGATGGCCATTACATGTTAAAGTACTCCCGAAGGTGTATCTCTTCAAAACCTGGGTTAGATGATGAAGTGAAATGCTACGAAAAGGTTTCCTCTCAGAGTGACAAGGAGGACCGTTACATGATAAAATACTTCCGAAGGTGTATACCTTCGAAGCCTAAGTTAGACAATCAAGTAAAGTGCGATGGAAAGGTTATCTTGCAGAGTGACAAGGAGGACCGTTACATGTTAAAATACTCCCGAAGGTGCTTACCCTCAAAACCAGGGTTATATGATGATGAAGTAAAGTGTGATGGAAAGTTTACCCCGCAGAACGAGAGCTGCAATGGTAAGGACTACTACAAATTCAAATATTCCAGGAGGCACAGAGGTAATCCATTGTATCATGAGTTACCTTTGAGTGAAGTGATAGTGCCATGCCAGGTGGAGTGTGATGTCAAGGTTACTTCACAGTACGAGAGCTGCAATGCCGGGGATAACCGCTACTCCCTAAAATACTCCAAGAGGTGCATAGACAAGGCTAACTTGCTGAAAGATACAAATAATATGGACAGCCATTACTTGATAAAATACTCCAAGAGGCATGCTTGCTCTAAGGAGGGGTTGGATCATAATATCAGTATGTGTGATGCTTTGGTTCTTACAGAATATGACCCTTGATCACGTACAAGTCGTTTGCAGAACCCAGGAGGTTGTCTAATGCTTCAGTGATATCCTCTTGGTGTATATTCTTGAGTTCGTAGTAACGTTTTTTCCCTGAGAATGTCTAAGTAAATAGGTAAATAATTCTTGCTTCTCATATAATATCATGTTGTTGTTGTTATAAGCTTTAGGTGCAATAGTATATGCGCTCCAAAGTGTTGATATTCATTTAAGGTTGTTTATCAAGCTGCAAATTTCTATATAGGTTTATTATAGGGGCATTGTATGTTCATTAGGAGAAAGGGGTGAACCTAACTTTAGACTGTGTATATTGAGAAAAGTGTAATTTAATTTACGAAAGATCACGAGAAGACTAGTTTCTCCACCCCCAGCCAATAATAAAGGAATAAAAGAATCCCCTTGATCTGAAATTCTTACGGAAGCATTGACTAAAACCACACCTAGCCGAGATGCATGGACAGGTTGGTCATTAGTATACAATGAAACATTTTTTTAGATGCTGAGATATAGATTGCATTGATTGTCTTCTAAATGGATAAAAAAGGAAATGAATAAGGATGAACAGGCTTTATTATTCACTTTTGTTGCATCTGGTATATAACTCATTTACCTATTGAAGAGGGTATGGTTTATATGCTACTGTAGTTGGTGTTTTCTAAGTACTAACTGCTCAGCAGTGTAGTATGTGTCAAACCTTACTTGGAATCATGGTTTGATGAAATTCCTTTAACAAGGACAATCATAGCTTGATACTTTGATCTGAACTTCTGCATATGTTTTGAACAAGAGACTTTGGGCAGAGAGATTGTGGAAAGTGTTAAGCTGAAATGATGTATAAGAAGATAATGTTGGATAATAAAAAGTGAGTGGAGTTTGAATTATGAAGGTGAATATAATATGGGATGGACTAAAAAGCTGTGTATCTAACAGAAATGAGACACATTGAGAGTATTTTCTTTGTTTACCATGTATATCTTTATATATTTTTGTTTTCCATATATCCTCAACTGTCCAATCTCAAAATATAATAAAAATAAGTTGATAAAACAAAAATCACCACTCCCTTTAAGTCACTTAGGAAATCCCCCAAACAAACAATGGCTTAGAGATTGGTTCAATAAAGAACCTCATAGAGATGTATGCTTCAAAGAACTAAATAAACATTTTCTTTTTATTCTTGCAGTAACAGATCTTGTTCTTGTACAGACTTCTAATTTCATGTTGAGTTGCTGTTTTATGTCTTTTCTGTTTGTTGTGCATGAGTGCTTATTAATACAATGCATTGGCATCAGAGGGTTATTGATTTTATCAAATTGTATAATTGGATTATTTATTATCATTGTGTGTAAAATACAAGTAATACACTGATAAATAATGTGTTAAATTACTTGTTAATGAAGGGAAGAACATGATAAAGAAACTTAAGAAAGTATTTTGTTGGTAAGAGTCTCATATCATTTTAACTGAAAAGCAAGGTAATATGATTTTGCAGACTCCTAGGATGCTCAAGTGAGCTACAAACGAGATATTTTCTTGAAATATTGGACTTCTATATACATCATTTATATATGCATATATTAACTACAAGTCTACAAACGTTTGAAACTAAGTCCTATGAATAGGTACTATTTCATTAAAACAATGCCCACACACACAATCACACACATACATACAATCAAATTCATTTATATATGCACATATTTCTTTTAAGTTGAATTAAGTGTGACGTGGTGGGAAGTTGGGAAGGGATGCCTTTGTGTTTGTTGTAAGGCATGACAGTGATGACACCACTAAACTGTTTTGAATGACAAGCTTCATGAAGATATGCATGTAATGCCATCTAAAGGCTTTATGGTATGTTGGGGCCTTCGGGGTCTTTGGAATTGCTAGGTAAGGGAATTGAGGGTTATATAAAGTATATGTTTTTGTTTTGGTTTTATCACAAAAAAGCAATAGCTTCCCTTTACTATCTTACCAGCTTTCTAGCCTTAGTAATTCTGACTTTTAAACGGACCTTAAGGTTATTGGGCAATATAATTAACAGAGCCTTTGCTTATATAAGTCTTGGTGGTTTGAAACAGATTCCAATGGCTCATTGGCTATAATAGTAAATTCTTACTTTATTTAATATACGGATATAAGGATTTAGGATGAGAATCCATTTCAACATGCTATATGGAATTCAAGATTCATTTAGTTGGGTTTTTTTTTTTGGATGAAATGTAAATATATATTAACACCCAAGAAAATATACATCAAAAGGTTCAAGATCTCCTAAAACCCCCCCACCCCAACCTAATGTAGGGGTTAGGAGAGGTTTTTATTTGAACTAATCCAAAATCAAAATCAAGACGGGGGCCTAAGTATACAATACTAAATGCCCCAACATGTCAAAAACAAATCGATGCTGCAAGACTGCACGCACACAGATCCACAAATCCATAAAAGCCGAGGCTTCAAAACATCCATGTCAAAAGGTGACCAACTCATGCGGGTAGATACTAAAGAGTATCTTGTAAACCACATGTTTGATCTTTGCTATAATGTCCTCCTCCGTCTTCTTGCCATCATCAAATCTAACTTCGTTCCTTGCATGCCAAATGTAGTAAACTGTCGCACAAAAAGCAATACGAGCAGCCTTTGCCTTCATCTTCGATCCTCTATGAGTCTTTGTGATCCACTTAATTGCACTTAGCAACGTTGTCATATCATGCCCGAGTCCCATCCAATTCCTTATCTGCTGCCACATCCTACACGTAAATGGGCAAAGGAAAAAGAGGTGTGGTATTGTCTCCAAACCACCCTTGCATAAGTCGCACCTGCTTACAATGTGGAGATAACCAAGGCTATCCTGGGTAGGAAGTCGGTTTCTCAAGGCCAACCACACGTTAAAAGAGAGTTTTGGGGGATGTAGGATTTCCATATGAAACTCATAGGAGTCCTAACATCACCCTTGACTCTTAACAATTCATAGATCTTAGCGGAGGCTAATTTTCCATTAGTGGTACGAGATTTAAGGCCTAAGATAGTATCATTCAAATTATTAAAGCAACTCCGAATCTTATCCCGAATGAGACTCAACCGCTTCATGAGCTGTGAGTCCCGGGTGTGTGGGACAAAGTCCCACACGGTCCTACCCTTAAGGTAGACCCCGTTCACCCACCTCACCCAAAGGGTGTCTTTCTTCATGTGAACGTCCCAAAGAGTGCGAGCGAGGAGGGCGTGATTCCACACCTTGGCATTATGAATGCCCAGACCCCCTTCCTCTTTAGTTGGGTTTATTTAGTTGGGAGAAGGACACTAATTGACAAATGCTTAAATCGATGAATACTGCTGGAAAGGAAACTAAGTCAAATGATACGTAGGTCCTGTTTGGCAGCATTATTGATCTGTTCTGCTTTTCAGCAGAGTAATTAGAACAAGTATCCCTTTGACATACTTAAATGGCTCAAATCAAATTTACCAAATGCTTTTACTTTCATAAAATTCAACTATTTCATCCAAATAACTCTTACCAAACAGGATCATGATTTGCTTACAAGAAAATTAAGCAGAATACCCGATTAATGTTACTAGGCTGGCTGGCTGGGTCTCAGAAAACTACTGAAGTTCGAATCATGGATTTTTCGGCCAAGTGAAATATCGCCGTTCAATTAAGGGATGTGTGTCTGATGAAATTAACAGATTGTAGGGCAAGATTGGTTGCTGGTTCATTTAAGGGTCATAAAGGACATGTTGATGGGAAACCAAATGAAGCCCGTTTCAATAATCCAAGAGGAGTTGTCATGGATGATAAAGGGAATGTCTATGACTCTATGTTGCTGATACATCAAATCTTGCCATAAGAAAGATAGGAGAATCGGGTGTGACAACGATTGCTGGAGGGAAGTCCCACAGCGCAGGGTATAGAGATGGGCCAAGTGATGAAGCCCAATTCTCAAATGACTTTGATGTGGTTTATGTCCAGCAACGTGTTCATTGTTGATTGTTGATAGAGGAAATGCAGCCACAAGGCAAATCTCCCTTTATCAAGAGGATTGTGATTACGAGCAAAGTTCCGTCTCAACTATTGGTTCGATCCCCCAGACGATGTGAATAAATGGGGCTCTATATAGGGATTTTATTTGAAAGTTGGTCCATAATCTGCAGTTTCCTTTTTGCAGATATTTTTATGGTCATAGGTGCTGTAGTGATAGGATATGCTGCATGCATGCTTCAGCAGGGATTTGGCTCTACAATTTTCTCCACTCTGGTATGTTGTTGTTGTGATCTATATTTAGTTCTTGATGAATAGAATATTTCGCTTACCCAATAAAGGATTAAAGGGTGGCTGAAATGCATGTATTACGTTTTCCACTAATTTTATGAAATGTCAATTATATATCAAGGTATAGACTTTGCCCTCCAAAGCCGAAATCTCCTCTCCTCCAAAACCCTCAGTCTGGACTCTGGACCAACACACCTTTATTTTCACGAGTTATGCGCTGCATGGCTCTTTATCCATCCTCTCCATTATTTTTTGGCTTGAAAATATGATGAAATAAAGCAAAATGGCTCACTAAATTGTCTGCACTTCTTTGTTATGAAGCAGCAGTCAGTCCATGCAATTTTGGACGCGATTTTCACTATGGGTCATCCGGAAACAATCTCTCCCTCATGTTTTCCTCCCTGTTTTCTTTCCCTAATATTTTCCGAGTTTCATATGAGCCTTGGTCATCCAAGAATCAAGAAATGTGTAAACAGTTGTACTACTCCTTTCGGAATGCAGGGAAACACAGTAGGCAGGGAAGACAAAAAACTGATCAGGAGGGAGAAGGCGTCTCCTGTTGTTGAAATGGGAAAGGGAGACAATGAAGTAGTGGCTGGATGGCCATCTTTCGGGCAGCTCATTTGGGATTTGGCCAATCTCTCACTTGAAGCCGTGTCTTTCATTTTCACCCTTCTTAATCCACTGCAATTTAGGAGCACTAGAGTCGGCAGTGGCCTCACTCCGCTTAAAGATTCTCTCATCATGCCAGAAGATGAAGAAGTCGAAGATACTCAGGAACGGAGAGTTTCTGCCCCAGTTTCTGAGATCACCACTAGGCCGGTTCACCCTCAAAGTGTTGGCAACAGTAATAATCTGTATAGAGGCTAAGCCCCACAAACATAGATCTTCTAGTTCGATAGAGTCATCACAGCCAACCAGGCTGCACCGATCTACCAGGCACCATGACTACCAAGCATACTATGCATCATCAACAAGCACTGAGGTTGCTCAACCTTCCTATCAGCCTGAGATGAGGTCTAAAAGTCAGGGGGGGATGAGGCAAAACATCGCCGTCCAGAGAAAAGTGCACGCACTGGGATGGATCCGAAGTATACTGGAACAAAGGGCCTAAACGGCTAAACCCTGCTTTGGTTGAAACTGGCAGGTCTGAGCAATACTATACCAGGAACAACAACCCGCTCAGATATCAGTAGAGTACAAACCCTGCATTTGCATTCCCTATACAAAGTTGTGAGCATTCTCATGCCACAACAAGAATAGTGGTGAGTCTACTACTAACTTTGCTGTGTAACAAAGCACAAATATGAAATATGTATTATATGGCTCACAAGTACCAAGTACCTGACATCGCATCTGCATTTCACATATTGTTCGAAGCTCCTAGATGTGTGTTTTTTGTTTTGTTTATTTACCAACTGTCTTACATACTCCCTTTTCCTTTAAAATCATTTCACACAGAAAGGCTTGACCAAATAATTCAGGAATGTTTTGTCAAACACCCATCCAAACAAACAATCAACAAATTGAATTGAAACCAGATACAAAGTATACTTGTCTACACATGTTCTTTCTTGGTTGCTGGCATTGCTACCTGCTCAGTCGATACTATATGATTCTCTTCTACCTTTTTTGCCTGGCTAATGAATACCATTATGCCATTACCTCATTAGGGTAATGTCATGTTAACGTTGAGGGGCAATGGGGCATTGGTCATATGCGATGCCAACTTAACTCTCATGTTTTGTGAGATTTGAGCCTCACATTTTGATAACTATAGTACTACTCTTTAAAAGTAATTAGACACTTCTTAAACCAATCGAACCTTAAGAATGAGTTCTTTCCAAGGCATAGTTTGAGGTAGGGGTGGACCGGTTCCGGTTTGGGCCCGGTTCAGGCCTGGGCCCGGCCAGGCCTCGGTTCAGGAATGGGAGGCCCAGAACCGGCCCGGGTAATCCCGGGTCCGGGCCGGGCCGGGCCTCGGTTCTATTTTTGTTTTTTTTTTTTTGGCTTTTCCTAATTAACCCCCAACCCTCCCCCTTCACCTCCAAACCACCTCAAATGGCCCAAAATACCCAGCCCAACCCAAAAACTTAAAAAAAATTCAAAAAAAAAAATTAATTTGGCCCGAACCGGCCGGGCCGGTTCACCAATCCTAGGGCCCGAACCACTTTCTTACCGGGCCGGGCCGGCCCGAACCGCCCCCTGGACCGGTTGCCGGGCCGGTTCAAACAGTAACCGGGCCGGGCCGCCCGGCCCGAGTCCATCCCTAGTTTGAGGTTCACGATGGAAAAACTCTTAGAAAATAAGAAAAGTATGAACTTCTAAAGAATATTTCTGCAGACGTCTTGCTAACTTACTTACGATGCAGTTCTAGAAACAAAAAAAAACTCAACTCTTATGTTGGTTTTTGCAATTCTGAAACATCTTTGACATAAAACTTTATAGTTGTTTTGGATTGCATTAGTTCTAAAATAAAAACTTCATACTTTAATCACAATCTAAAATAGGACCTGAAATGATACGGAGGGAGTAATAATCTAAGACTGCAGTTTCAAAAAAAATATTATTCAAAGTAGTAGAGAAATAAGGTTAGGACAAAATTGTATGGTAAACAAGTAAATCCCCAACTGTCAGACAATGATGCAGCCCTTCGAAGACTTGACTATCTCACTAGTATCTTACAAATTGCCTATCATCACCATCACCTTTCTTATTCCCGTAAGGCCTGCTCTCACTGAACCCATTACGCCTCCCCTCTCCTTTGTGCTTTTTCCGGCACTTGGCCGCATTGCTGTCTATATTTATATTTATTTTTGGAGGAGATGAAAAACAGAAAGATGTTGCAACCGCCTGCCAGAAGACACTCGAAAATCATAAAAAATTAAAACTGAGTAGTAAATAAAGAAAAACTAAATGTTTGAAGAGGTATTAAGGAAATTTGCCTGTAAGGACTTATAATTGTAGGTCTACTAATCACACTGCTTGCCTAACTTTATTTACTATATGGCAGAGATGATGTGAAAATGAAGCAAAAAACTACAAACATAATGATAACTAAAATGGTTTTTTTCAAGAAACAATTAGTATGGGGATGCTAGGATCACTTGATAGAAATTCCACCAGACACTTTGAATACAGTTTTGACATGTTTGTGGTCACACGCATAATATTTGAAGTTAAAGCTAAAAAATAAATTACCTGCAAATCAAGACGATGAACATTAAATATATCCTTCATGGAGTGCGAATTATAAGCCAATATGTAAGATCTATAAGCCTCTTTAGCGGATTTATTCAGGTAATAATTGTTAGAGACCAATTTTTCCTGCAGCAGAACCACAAAGATGATTCATTTTGGTCAGACAAATTTCACATCACCATTTTTTGAAAAGAAACATTTCAAAGTTTACTCATCAAGTTAAAATGCAAGTCTGGAGCGGAAATACCAGGTGAGACTGCACATTAGCCAGCTTTCTGTCATCAAATTCATACTGTTTTACAGGGACTTTTGCCACCTGCCAAATGATTTTATAAAGAATAATAGATCAAATCATCCGCACACACATATTAACTCTCAGCAGTCCAAATCCAGCCACTGCAGATATAAATGAATAATCTTTTCTTTTTTCAAGAAAATGAGGATGACACCCCATCCCTAACGGCCCCCAGAACCCAACAAACAGTTATCTGGGAGGAAGTAAATTTCTTTATTCAAAAAAGAACTATTATACGATGTTACCTTGAGACCTCGTTTGGAAGTATTTGGTGGTCACGATTAAATTTATTGAAAATAGATACGAAATAGGACATGAAGGGAGGGAATTCACCTGATTTGCCTAAATAAATACCAAGTCCATCCAAACAATGCCTAGACTTCTATATATCAGAAGGGTGTTTCCACAGTTTGAATCTCTGACCTATTATATGAGAATGAAGCTTTTACGATTGTAATTAAGTTTTTGTGTAAAAAAATGGCTGCCCGATGCACATTGTCATCCTTGCAAGTTGAGGGAATAGGGGTTAGGGTCCCACCGCAAGGTGTATAGGAGGGGCAAATCTTCCCTTGTTTTTGACAAGAGACGGGACTTGAACCCGTGACCACTCATTCTATAAAGTTTTCCTATTTGTCGAATTTACGTTTTTTACAAGAATTTCCGTCTTGTCCTCCACCATATATCTACAAGATAGCTCATTTGCTTTTAACTCAATGCTTAGACTTAGTACTACATAACACAGACCTTGAGATACACAAGAAACTTCAACTCCTCCGGAATGAGGAAGAGCAGGGCATTCCCTTTGGCACCTTCACCACGTGCTGTTCGGCCAACTCTGTGAATATACTCCTGGAAGAATTTACACATATATCACATCACATTGACTTCCAAAACTTATGCTCCCTCCATCCCAAACAACAAAAATTAACCAAGGTAGAACTTTTTACTTTTTTAAGGTACAACTGTATTAAACCATACAGAGTACATGATGCTCGCATTAGAAATAGTACTCTTTGGACAACTTTGGTTGTAGAAACGTGACTTTTTTAGAGGATGGGAGGGCAATGGCAATTGAATAATATCTCTGTACCTTGGGCTCATCTGGGGGGTCATATTGTATAATCCAGTCCTGCAAAGGAAGAGAAAAGATAGTTTGTATATCAACTTAATGTTTAAGAAAAGTGGGGATTCTAAATGAACGAAATGTGCAGACAGCATTAGTTTAAGCAATTATATGGGGCAATGTATAACAGTTGTAGTTTGCTGGTGTACTTGAGAATAAACTAAATATAGTTATTAGAAAACCACAGAATTGAATATGAAGGATCATACCACAGCAGGAATATCAAGACCCCTAGCAGCAACATCAGTACATAACAAAATGCCTTTTTCGGCTTTGCAGAAATCAAAGAAGGTAGAGGTCCGCTTTTGCTGTTTTTGCTTTCCATGAATATCAAAGCAATCAATATGAATGTACCGAAGAAGTTCAGAGTGGAACTTTACGGAGTTGCACGAAGAGAAGAAAACCATTATTTTCTTCGAAAGGTTTTTCTTCAGAAAAGAGTACAGAAGAATGAACCGCTTGGCACTAGGGATGACACAGTACCCCTGCTGGAGTCCTTCATTTGTTACCTAAATTAACCCCACAAATAAATGTTAAGTGCATCTAAAATCAAACATCGATGATGATAAAAGAAAACGCAAAACCAGATATTTTTTGTACCCTCTTTCTTCCATCATCCACATCTATATAGATAGGAGTTGTTTGGAAAGACAAGCGTGCCAGATCCTCCACCTGTAAACAAGTCAATGGCCTCAGATAAGCAAGCACAATTGAACTTAAAAAATAAAAGGATTTGCAGTTTGCACAATATATATGTAATTGTACAGGGAGAGTAAACACAAAACTATATACGAATAGTCAAATATGACCAATCATATGATTAACAGAACTGTATGATTACATACTTTGGAAAACATATACATTTGAAACATAACGCTCATGAGCTCCAAACTTAAATTAATCTTTACAATCTACTGGTTCAAAAAAATGTGCTTCAAATCACTTATTTGATTAGTTTGTGTGAGTGAACTCGATCTTCTGTTACTCAGTTCTATAAGTGTTTCTTATTTATGCCACAAATAAAAGCAGCTGGTCCAGACCATACCTTCTTAGTCTGTGTAGCTGAAAATAGGGCAGTTTGTCTACCCTGAAATACAAGCAAATTAAAGTGTTAAGGCAAAACTGATTCAAGATATAATATTTTCAGGGACATGGGCAATTTGAGTCATGAAGGCTAAACTAGAATAATTCAAATTCATGCATCCAGGTGGAGTAAGTATAAATTAGAAATGATTGAAATGTAACAATGCTTTTAATAAAATGTTATTGGAATTCAGAACAGTTCAAACCCAAGAAAAACGGTAGTATTGTTTAACAAACTAAATCAAAATTGAGTTTTTGAAGATAAATGGTAGCATTATTCAACTAGGGACTTCAAAACTGAGCTTTTGAAGACTTGTAAGAAATGAACCCACAAGTAACCTTACCACTTTAGGCAGAAGCCTCATAATCTTTTTCATTTCTTCTTCAAAGTTCGCTTCCAGTATCCTATCTGCTTCATCGATAATGAGGCACTGCAAGTCCAGTGTAACAGTTAAAGTCAGATACATCCAAAGATAACCTTTCAAAGTAAACATGACCAAAAGATGTTAAGCTGAGCAGCAGCACATCACTTCTTTTGAAGAAAGAGATTAACAAGTTAAAATGTACACAGATGTTAAAAGAGATCCAACAATGAAAGACTAGTTGGAGCACTGATAAAAAGATGGGAAGGAAAAACAATGTCTGCAACTAATGTCAAGGTGACCTAACCTACAGAGTGGGTCTTGTGAATATACTATTGGTAAGATCCTATCTGGACTTCAAAGCATTTCTAACTATCATGAAATGATGATAAACCCCACTTACACCGGACCTTATTACATGCACAGTTTTTGCTTTCACGCATACCAATGAAATGATTAAAGGCATTAAAAGTATCATTTCAATATCCAAATATGCCTTTTAAATATTTATAAAGGAGAATATGTTTTAGAGTTTCAACACAGATAATTGTGGAAGAAAACACCAAAGTATCAAACGTGAATTGATAGCACAAATAAGATGTATACTTAGGACCACCCTAATGTGCCTTACAAATAGGACACAAGTATAAAGTATAAGCAAATGGTATGGAAACTAAAAACAAAACATTGGTACCTTCAGGTTCTTATAAACAAATCCCTTTGTGTTTTCAAGATGATCGAGAAGTCGACCAGGAGTAGCTACTAAAAGGTTTACTCCATTTTTAATACGCTCGGCTTCTGTTCTCCGTGTTGCACCTCCAATAACCAATCCCAGAGTCTGTGAGTGATCCTTCAACAGCTCTTTTGCCACGGCATGAGTCTGATGAACAATAAAGGTTATGCTAGAACTATAATTATTCATTTATGAAAAAAACCGGAATTCAAAAGGCATACGAGTATTCTGTTTTTCTACTTATGTCGTCATATGCATATAAAGTTGACTACGTACTTGTATCGCAAGTTCTCTAGTGGGGCAAATGACGATGACTCCAGTTCCATTGCGATGTGTGAACTTTACGTTAAATAACAACTCAACAGCCGGTATGAGGAATGCGAGAGTTTTGCCCGAACCAGTCCTTGCAGCGCCAAGAACATCTTTCCCTTCCAACAATGGAGGAATTGCTCGTGCTTGGATCTTCAACCAAAAATAGAAAATATAGAAGATATATTAAAACACATTTCATTCATATAAGTTTTGCACGCTCTGTTGGCAGAATAATCAAAATAAAGTCAAATAACATTAGATTAATCTATGCACACTAAGATTAATAAAAGCAATTAATATTTCTGTCAGACCAAACATGTGCGCTATTTTATGAAGTTCTGCAACTATTGATATCACCATGAATCTTCCAAAAAAAAAAACTTTATACGATTCGAAATTTAACATTGACTTACAAACTTTGAATCTTACCAAATAACATGCAGAGAAATAAACTCTCAATCATACTAATAAAATATTTAAACCTAAAAAGACATCAATACAGATTAGTTTTAAGAGCTCTACCTGAGTCATGTACTCGAACCCCATCTCATTAATAGATTTCATAGTTAGCTCTGAGAGACCCATAGTTGCAAATGACTCAGTGCTCATAATCCCAGAACCAGAACTCCTCACAACCTTCTTTATCTCTTTCACCTCATCATCAGCTTCTTCTTCTTCCTCTTCTTCCTCTTCTTCTTCTTGTCCCTCTCCGTCCTCCTCTTCCTCCCTCCCATCATCATCCTCTTCCCTCTTTCTAACCTTATTCTTCCTTTTCCTCTTTTCCTTCAACTCCCGTTCTTCGATGTTCTCATCTTCATCTTTTTCCATCCTTTTCTCTGTCTTCTTGTCTACCTTCAGGCTCAATTCATTTCCATTTTCTTCCCCATCACCATCATTACAGTTCTCCCACAATTCCTCCGCCCCATTTGGGACAGTGAGGCTACAATTAGCCAGGCCTTCCTCAAGTACGTGTTTCTTCTTTCGATCCTGCTTCCTTACCTTTCTTGTTTTACCAGATTTATCCTTCGATATTTCTGGCATCTTGAGCACACAGTTGAGGCTGGGATGTGCTGCTGACACTTAGAACTGTATCGAATTTGTCTATCTATTATGTATATAATGATGCAGTTTGCTTTGCAATTCTCCCTCTAAAAGCCTGATGAAGCCATAACAAAGATAAAAGTAAAACTCAATATTTCTTAGTGTTATAGACAGTAAAAAACAGCAAACACTGATATTTGTATGTAATATTATTTTAGAAAAAACTGACAAAAATACAGATTTAAGAACATATACAACCAAAAGCAAAAGAAACTTTCCACATTGTTCATGCATAAAGAGCTCCACAGGAAAAATATACACCTTACCATAGAGGAAAAAATCAACAAAAAATATGAATCTATATAATATAGTAAAACACAAAAGTCCCAAGGAGGGAGGACAAGGGGTGTTGGGCGGGAAAAAACGTACATAGAAAATAAGGAAGTTGCACCGTTGCATGGCAGCAGTTTTCACGCCAAACAATTAATCACTTAATTAAGGATTATTGTATTTCAATTGTTCTAGAACTCTTTAATACTATGGATGCACCTACATATAAAATACCGAGTGACATAAAGGAAGAAAGAGAAAATGTTTGGTTGGAATGATGTCTTTCCATTTATCTAGGTCTTGGATGAATAAAAAGACTGCTAGATTTAAATATTGTGTCTTGAGCTTCTCAAAGCATTTAATTGCATTAGCCTTTTGGATTCACCGAGATGTGTACATCTTTTTCATAGCATTAGTAATTAATTTTTGTGTTCCTTGTTATACGGAGTATATACTTATACTATCGTATTTTTCTCCCCTAGGTTGTGCTTCTCGAAGTACATGCAGACAGAGTGTAAACAATTTAAACTAATTAATTGTCTTCTCAAGGTTCAAGAATTAATGCAATTACATATGGAGTGAGGCTTGGAGGCCATTTTGAAGTATTCTTCTAGACTCCTAACATGTTCTGATTGTTCTCAATGTGGAATTCTTCAATTAGAAACTCTTCCAATGTAGCTTTCGATGAATAAATACTGTGGATGCATTTCAATTAAAGGCTACATAAAAAACCTTGACTTTTTGAATTTCATTGCTGCCTATATATAAAAGACTATACTCACATCTACCATCACATGGATCTTTAATCAAGTTTCATGTTCGCCTTCAAACGCCTGCACAAAAGAAGAAAAACAATTCCACTCAAGCAAGAGCCTCTTCAGAATAAATTGTAGCATCCACTTGAATGGAATTGGACACTCCATTTTAGATACACTCTGTTCAGGAAAATACAATTTATCCCAGGTAGTCCATAAATTTAAATTAGAGTACTTCTACGGTTGTCAAAGTTGACTCATTTCCAATGGTTGTAGGTGAGACTTAAGAGAAGGTATGTATCTTTTAACTTTAAACAAAAGTAAATTAAGTAAACGAAGAAAATTTAGCATTCTACTTTTAACGTTTCATACTCTGCATGTATACGTTTTCTGACCATTTCATACTTCCTATAACACATTTTATAACATCTATAAATTACTACTTGCAGTTTTCTAGATGGTATAACAATCACTGATAAGTGTAATGTTTAGCTTCTAACATTCTTAAGCATCAAGATTATTTAGCATTTGATAACATATTTGAATTACTACTTGCAGTTTGCTAGATGGTTCATTAGCAATCACTAATAAGAGTAATTTTTAGCTTCAAACATTTTACGGTAGAGTGTTATCTGTACCAGTAAGTAAGTAACTGTCCTCATAAGAAGCATTATCTAAAAGCTAAAGATGACCAATATAACTCTATAAGCCTCACATATGTCGTTGGTTTTAAAGATGTTCCTGATGAGTGATGAATAATCATCTCTACATTCATTTAAGCTTTACATAATGAATGATTTCTTTAATATTTTCTTTTATACATTCTGTTCAAAATTTAAACAGATTTAAGCCAATTGAGAGTATATTGAGGTTAGTTTCTTAATGAATCTTAAAAATGTGCTTTGGTCAATTGGACATTTAAAAAAAAATTACTTCAAAAAATTGTAATTAAAAAAAACTAATCTTAAATTAATAACTTGGTTTTCTTATATAAAAATTGTAGAACTTATATTACGGATTAAATTTGTAATAAGCCAAAATACGTAGTAGAGAAACTAGGAGAATTTTATACTTTTTTCAGTATCATTTTGTGATCAAATTTGACTACTTTCATATATTTGCCTTCAACCCTACTGCTGGTACTTAAGTTTCATATTACTGGGTACATAAATTGAAGGGTACATAAAGCTTAGATTATGAAAACAAATTCCACATAAATTGGGTTCCTTAACAAAATACGAATCAAAGAAATATAGAAATATGCTCCATTGAATACGCTTTTCATGTTTAATTTTGATCGCCAGAAAGACGACATCCAGTTGTTAGGTACAACAATTAAATAATAATGATATAAAGTTATAATGAGTCCAATTATTTTCTAACCAAAATAAAAACCTCTCAAAAAACAAATATACAAAAAACCCACTTTTAGGCTAACCGATTTTTCGAGTGATTTTGACCGGCAGAGTGGCAAGTTTTCTGAAAATAAAAACGTTCGTAAATTTCTGCCATTTTGAGATCTTAGGTAAAGATTTGTTATCTTATATTTTTTCTGAATGGTTCTGTCGTTCTGGTGACGCGTGTGGGAAAACCAAAGTGAGTTTCTCGGTTTTCTTAGGTTTCGACATACAACGATATTACTAATTTAAGTATTTAACTAAATATTTATAAAAAAAAAAAACAATGAACTAAGTTATTATTGAGCTAATCAATAAAAGAGGACTGAAGAAATACCGGGACTACGAATGGCTGGATGTGAAAATTGAGGGAAGCGCCGATTGACTGAGCCGCTGAAGGTTGAGTGGCGGAGAGAAGATGACTGAGCGACGGGAGTGATGTGAGTAGTTGACGACTGAAGAAGCGTGTTGCGTGTTGGCGTCTGACGGAGGATGAAACCGCGAAGAGAATCGGCGGAGCGTTCAACAAGATGATAGATGTCGATGGATCCCGACTCAGAGATGTTTGCTCGGCTTCCTCAAGCCTTTAATTAATATTAGACCTTTGGTTTGTTGGACAAGAATATTGGGCCTAATTTTTTTTTAATCATATTTGGGCTCATATCTACTGTTTCTCAAGATTGCCGGTGGAACTGAGTTCTAGAACTGATGAAGAGTCATATCTGTAAAAAAAAATCAAGATTACGAAATGAGGAAAGGGTCTGAGTACATCAACTTGCGAGGTGGAGTAAAGAGTACGCTATATTGCATTTGATCTTTTTAAGTATACAAATTCGGGATTTTAGTGTTATTTGAGTACATTTGTTGGATTAACACGTTAATACAGTTGAGTTGGCTAACGAATGTCGAGTAAGAAGGGGTAATGGACCGAGATTATGGTGCCTGTGGATATCGAAAATTAATTAATGTTTTGGATTTATTATTCTATGATAGTCCATAAAATTATTTAATTGATTTAAATGCTAACGGGCTATTCTCAACCATATTGGGCCTCTTTTGAATGATATTGGGCCAACATCAATTCTACTGAGCTGCTCGTGATGGTTATTGGGCCTTATAAAAATATTAATATGAGTCCATTTGAATAAAATTTAATAATTAAATTAATTTGGATCACTTAAAATATCCAATTAATTTAATTATAAATTAAATCTTTAAAAGAATGGACCGGTCCTATTAATTTTGAGCACATTATCAAATATTGGACCAATGAATAAGAGGCATGATCCAATTGATAAAAAGAGCAATGAATCTGGTTAAGAAATATGTCCGTATGCATGGAAAGTGGCTGCGAACCTTGTTAAAAAGGCTGTCCAGATACATTATATAAGTGCTGATTTTTCTAGCTATTAAATGCAAGCAAATAGAGCCCAAACCCCATTTTAATTAGGGCCCATATAATATGGACGAATTTTGGGAACCCTAAAGCCATATTTTCACCTCCTCCACACCTATAAATAGGGGTCTCAGTTGAGAGGAAAGGGAAGGAGGACTTCCAGACGAAGAAACGCTGCATCAAAGCTCTGAAGAACTCCCGAGAGGCTCTGAACGATTCCGAAGAGGAGAAAACGAGATAAATTTTAATTTTTGTTGGAGAAAATTTCGTGTGTAAGTTCAAACAACAAGATACTGGATCGGGTACCCGCCATACTCGTTCGGGTGTTTTCAAAGAGCTTCTCGAAATATTCAAAGGAGGCTAGCACAAAAAGCTTAGCATGGGGGAGCATGAACAGATAAAACCTTGGGAGAAGAAACCGATTTTAAATGTGAGAAGAAACGTGACACTCCTAAGCATTGAACTTAATCGAATTGCACTTTACTCGAGGACGAGTAAAAGATTAAGCATGGGGGTATTTGATGTGTACTATTTAGAAGTACATAAACACCACATTTTAGAATGGTTTTACATTATGTTTACTTAGCTTTTGTACAATTACGGTGTAATCTTTATCTTCTAAAATTAAAGAAGAATTAGAAGATATTAAGATATTTTGACATGTAAGCAAAAACATGATGAAAAGAAAAAGAAGGAGCTTGGGAGCATAAGGAAGGAGCATTGGAGACAAGAGGAAGCTTCATGGAGGACAAAGATGTGTGAAAAATCGGATATGATTCGACCCGGAGATCATAAGAGATCAAATAAAACAAGTGAACATGAGAAAATCAGATTATGTCTTAGACCCAACCACCTCACTTCTCCTATAAAAACACCTCTTTCCTTCCTATTTTAGATACCAATTTAATCCCCTCTTTCATATACACTTTATTCTTGTAATTTAGGTAGTCTTTCCATCTTGGTTTTGCTACTTTGAAGCTTAATGAATTGTAAGTTGTGACTTATTTTCTTTAATCTTCTTCCTTGAATATTAATTTTTCCCTTAATACTATCTCTTTATTAATGTTGGGAAGTGTTACTAAGATGACAATTAGTTAACATCTCGACATTAGTTAGAGTAGTATTTATTTTCTTCCTCTATATTAATGTTGGGGGTGTTAATAAAATGACAATAAGTTAACATCTTGACATTAGTTATAGTAGGATTTATATCTTCTTTAATATTCTTCCTTGAATATTAATTAATTCCTATTCATATTTCATTTTAATATTTTGAGCATTACTTAAAGGATCAACTAGTTTTGTCTCATATATTAATTATTACTAGAATCGATCGACAAATACGCTTGCTAATCGTTCGATCTTTTCACGGTAATAAACTTGGATTATTAATGCATGCGTCTCATGGTTAATAATCTAAGGGGAATTAATTATATTGATTAAAACAATAAACCGATTGTGTTGAGGTTATCAATTTCAATCGTTTTCATCTTGAATTTATTGCTACTATCGAGTAAATATACGGCGCGTGTTCTATATTAATTCGGTAGTAAGTTTTATTAATGAACGCGTCCCGTTATTAATAACTACCCTCGATGAATTGGATATACTCCTCGATTGAGTATTCGAGAGGAGGATAGTTAAAGATATAACCAGGATCGACGAACATTTCATTAAGTGGATAAAAGCAAAACCAAGACTAATTACCTTTGATATTTTATTTCACTCATTTAAGTATTTTATTTACTTTCTCAATTATCAAAATATCCAATTACCTTTGAGATGTTACATGGGGTAGCATCCGAGAAAAAGTTTGTGGCTTTTAGCATTAATTAGTCTGAACAGCTTGTATACCAAACAGAAATAAACCAAACAGTCAGTTTTTTACCAAAAAACTACCACCTTTGACTTTTAAGATCTTTTCGGTCACTAAAAGTTAACAGTTACTAAAAAGCATGTAAAATTATCTTTTCAGCTATTTATGTCAAACATACCCTAAGACTTGTTTGATTTGACTTTGTCTGATTTGATTTGAGACTGAAATTTGGGCAAGCAAAAACATCATAAAATAAAATGGATAGTATATTATATTTTGGGATAAGGGTCAGATAGGGCCTCGAACTCGAAAAAAAATGTCAAATAAGGTCATATTTCGGATGCTCTGTCTGGCCGACGCCATTTGGGGCGGTTCCCGATGGAATTTTTTGATGATATTTTTTGAGCATCTTCCTCATTAAGTCTAGTTTACCCATACCAAATTTCAGCTAAAAACTCAACCGGGAAGGTAGTCAAATGAGTTTTTGAAGATAACTGTGAAGTTAAACAACGCCGTACATTTCGGAAAATTATTTGACTACCTTCCCGGTTGAATTTTTAGCTGAAATTTGATATGGGTAAACTAGACTTAATGAGGAAGATGCTCAAAAAATATCATCAAAAAATTCCATCGGGAACCGCCCCAAATGGCGTCGGCCAGACAGAGCATCCGAAATATGACCTTATTTGACATTTTTTTTCGAGTTCGAGGCCCTATCTGACCCTTATCCCTTATATTTTCTATTCTGACATTTACATGAGCCGTTGAGCGATATTATGATTTGAAAAATGGAGCAAGTAAGCATGTTAACATATTTATACTCTATAAATAATACTCTGTACTATCTAATTGAGTGTTTCCTCTTCTCCAAAATACTTATCCCAATTTCATTTGTAGAATAGACGTATTACTTTTGAAAACAATATGTCCAAACTACACTAAACCTTAAAAAACATACTCCGCATTTCATCCTTGTTGTTTATTCGTAGTCAATTGGATCTAGTAACATACTAGTATACCCGTGCATACGCACGGGAAGAGCAGTTGGTGCATATATATGTACTCATTATCTAATTAAATATTGAAATAAAATATTTGTTTAGTATTATACATTTTTCAAAAATAGAAGAATAATAAGCTAGTACAATAAAATAAAAACTCAGATAATCAATATTAAATGCAAAGTATATTATGGAAAATTAATTGACACAACTCATAAGAGTTACTTTTCATGATTAAATTAATTTTAAAATTAAATTAAATATTATTCTACAAAGTGAGTACAATAAGTGAGTGCCATAAAATATTAGGAGTTACGAATATTAGTTAAATGGGTTGGAACATGTAATAAAACATTTAAGTATTGTTATTAATATTTGTAGTAATATCTAATGATTTCTCATCCTTATCATGTATTAATTTTTTTTATTCATGTTTGCTTTGAACTCTAAATATTGCAATATACAATTGGGCATGTCTAAAATCAAGTCTTGGCATGTATAATTTAATTTAGTCCACTGATTACCTTTGAGATTTGTTGACTGTTCCGATGCATGAGATCCAAGTATTGTAACAATTAATCTAGTTCTGTTACATGGTCCTTCTTATTGCTATAATATTGTTTGGAGCTCCAAGTTTAAATCTTATTTAGTGATTCGAAAGTCTCGTTGTTCTCCAGGAACTTAGAAAGTCAAGTGTCAACGCTTCAAATGTTTCTGCTTCAACTACATCCGAGTGATCTATAGGATCACAATTTAAATATTCTATTTCTTCGTCTGCAACTATAAAATGTGAATGGGACAAACAATTTTCTCAAACAATTTCCTGATCCTTAGTCTTTCACTTCTTTCAAGCTTCAATATTTTATTTTTCATACGTAGGCAACCTCATTTCAAAACACACTTCTCTACGGCATGAATTCAAATGTATGTAATTGTCGTAATATCTTCGTAACAACATAGCCCTTTTGTCATCGTGATCATTCTTAAATAGAATAATTCAAATGAAGTTGGAGGTACCCAATGATCCTAAAAATAGTGAAATGAATTTTGCAAAGATCAATCTTGCACCGATGATGTAAACATTGATTATTTAAAGGCTTTTTATCAACACCGAATTAAGGTCATCGTGCTCACTAAAGAATATTGATTGATCATTGGGAAGGTGAAAGAAAAGCTTCTTGTTGGTAGATAAAAAAAGAATATGACACAGAGACAGTTCTATCTTTTGGAACTCAATGATTTTCATATCTTAAAAAAGCATAATAGTGTTTAGAATAAATGAATTACAACAATAACCATGTAGTGTGAATAAGACATACTCTGTATATAATTGTTGGAATATATTACTATGATCGATCTACTATTGTTCAGGAGCTAAAGGCATTGTTGTCA